TGTTAGTGGGTTGGTACAAATATATTCATTAATAAATTAATTAGTTAATAATGATGTTAGTTCTTACATACTTCCAATATTAGGACAGGTGTTTTACCAATAAGTTAAATGGGGTGAAGGGAAAGAGATTAACCGAACCCTAATTTGGTTATTTTTATTATTTTTGAATATTTTTCTATTAGAAGATTCCATTGCCCTTTCCGCTGAAACAGTTATACTTATTTTAAATTGGCTCAAACCACCTATTTTGTTCTCTTACGATCAAAATCCCGATTTCGATACGATTTTAACGATTTTAGTCCTGATTTTAAACGATTTTAAGGTCCACCGATTTTATAGTAAAATCAAGATCGGAATCCCTAAGTAAAATCCTACGATTTTATGATCAAAATCCCGAATTTGACTGCATTGGCGATGGGTGCACGATTAGTGGGCCAAATAACAGTTTGGGCCCGTTTAAATGAAAACATATTTTTACTTTCGTGCTCAACAGACCGACCGCACTGTCATCTTCTAAATTTACCGCTAAAAAATTGCTCTGTACGCATCAAATTTGAAATGGAATCCCTCATTTCTCATTTCACATTTATATGATGTGTAGATTGTGATGAGTGTAGATGTAGACCTGTCATTGTCCTACAAATTCATTAACACGCCAAAAAGTGGTGAAATGAGCCACCCTATTAAACACAATCTTGTATAATGATCATTGGATCCAATCATGCCAGATTATGAAGAAGTTTAAAATGTAGCGGTTATCCCGACTAAAACATTAAAAGAACCAGTCTCATATAGTTTGCACAAAGATATAATTTCTCCATAGTAATTCTGAAAAATAATATTAATTTAAGAAGTCGATATTGCTTCTACATGTTTAATATTGCAATTCGATATGCAATATTCGAACCAGTGATATTTGGGCTGCAATTTTAGGGTTATTGTATATTTATAAAATAGATAGAAATTTAAATTAAGTATTAAACTACAACTAAAATAATCAAAGTATTAAAACACCAAATAAGTACTTACGGGAGATTCAGTGGCCAACTAATCGTTAAAAAAGTCATATGATTTTCATAATTTAGGTTCGTGTATGTTTGAATTTAAATAGATACAACAAATATACTTAGTGTGATTGGTTATGATCCTTGCTTGCCTTTAAAGAGACCAAGGTTCAAATCCCAGTGCATGGCTTTTTTATGAATAAATAAATAAGAAAATAAGCAATTGTGAAGACCAAAATGTCCTTCCTATAATCACTCTCGTTGCAGGAAATTTGAAATGGAGCAACAGTTTTCATCATTCGGCTTTTATTTATTATCTAGATGATTATGACTTTTGTCCTTGTACACCTTGATTTCGAGTTTTGTTTGCTTCCCAGCTCCAGCTCATTATCTTGTACCCTTCCATTTGAAATTTATATATATGATCAAATTAAATTTTAGTCTTAGCATTAGAAACCATTGATTAGCAATCGATGTTGCACCCTTTAGGATATTATTGCTTGTTAAGAAAGCAAGACGTGATAAAACTTCAATGATCACGGGAAAAAACCCCGTTAAGGTAAGAACTAGTAAGCGTCCTGCCAACATTTCACCCTGAAATGGCAACTTGGGCCCCAGCCGGCCCGCCATTCCCAACCATGTCCACTCCCACCTGACCAAATTTTCTTGTGTCTGTGTGTGTTGAAGAGTTCTGTCCATAGGGTTGGAGATAGCTAGTGAGACTGAAGCAACTGCAAATGGCTTTGATCATTTGGCCTCACTCACAAGTTCACAACTGGGATTTTCTGTCTCCTTGGAAGGTGAAGTGGTAGCTCCAAGAGATAAAACCACTTTGCTAATGCAAAGTTTTGAACTTTCTTGGTGATCCTTTAGTGGGCAGCTGGGTTTTGACGAAATTGGTGGCTCTTGAGTCTTGATCGTCAACACAGCCTAGAAGTGGAACCCCATCCCAAGGCAATCCAAAGTTGAAGCCTTTTTACAGAGACATAGAGGAAGTATATATGGATAGGAAAAGGATGGCAACCCACAATCATGTAATTTCTCCCACAACAAGAATCAAAAGGATGGAAGAAAGTGAGAAGAGAAAGAAGCTAACATCTCTAATGAAGCAAGATTTCTCGATTGTAACATCATGGCTACTGATCAATGTGATGTTGCCTAGGGAGAGAAGGGCGACACCAGCAATGGTGGGGGAGAGCTTCAGGAGTGTTGACAAGCTCTCGAGGGAAGAACATAAGTACTCTGCTGCTGCTTTGCCTAGGAGGTAGAAGAGAACAGTAAGCCATAGCCCATAAGAGAAGAATGGAGTGGCCGATTAGTGATGATTGGCCACGTGTAGTAGAAGATTTGGGGTAGTTGATAGAACCCGGATGATTAGGTTCTAGGGATTGGGATTGGGGAAAGATCAACTAGGGATTGATCTTGGTATGAACAGAAGATGAGGAAGAAGAGGATTTGAGGTGGGACGAGAGGAAGAAGGAGGGGAGAGGGAGATGGCCGCGCGGTGGCCTTGGGAGAAGGGAGGAAGAGTTTCGGCAGAGGGAGAGGGAAGAGAGAGAGAGAGTGAGACAATTAGGATTTAGGTTTATGCTTGCTTAGTGGACTAATCCCACGTACAAGTAGTTTATATAAAAAATGGACAATTATAATCTGCTACCCGACTTATCAAATGTTTTCCCACTTTCCAAAACAGTCTCAATAATCTGAAATAACGAATAATCGACAATTAATCAAAGTACTAAAATGCAAGTTTCTATCATCCCCGCTTCCTTCGAGAATCAACCTTGTCCCCAAGGTTGCTTCTCTAGCTCACTAGGTCTCCTCCTCTCCATTCCCGGCGTCCTTGGCTGCGTCTTTCGCTTCATCTTTCCAGTGTCAGACTAGCATCATCAGGTCCGGCTTCGGGCATTGATGGCCAATGGTGAACCGGCCATCACAATTGAAGCACTTTCCCTCTCGCCTCTTTTGCTCGATCTGGCCGGGGACAGTCGCAAGAACCCCTTTGGTATGGGCCGCGGTCCCATCCTAGCCACCAGCGCCGTGCCTCCACTTCTGGTGTTAGCTCCAGCTGCATTTCCCGTCGGCGTTCCTCCACTGCTGCCACCGGTCCCACTGCTTCCTCCACCTCCACTTGGCCTCGGGTAGCGGCCTATGGTGCTCCTCCAGCTGGCAAGTTCTTCCTCTTTATGACCTGCAAGACGAAAAGCAGCTTTCAAGAAATCCGGCTCAAATACTATGACTGTCGCTGCTATCTCGGGTTTGAGGCCCGCCATGCATAGCCCCACCAATGTGTCCTCCGGAACTCCCCTACACTGGTTACCTAGCTTAAAGAAATCGGCGCGGTAATCGGCCACAGTGCCGGTCTATTTCAGCTTTGCCAACTGCTCGGGCGCCCATCCTTCCGATTTTCCAAACTGGTAGCGGAGCTCCTCCTGAAACATAGGCCAGGTGATCAAGGTTTCAGCCGTCGCATAGGATCTCTCCATCCATTCCCACCACTGAAGCGCGTCACCCTCCAAGTAAAACGATGCCAGGTAAGAATTTCTCTCCTCCGAAATCGGGTGGTTTTTAAACCACCTCTCAGCTGCATACAACCAAAGACCTGCATCCTCTTGCCCATTGAATTGCGGAAACTCAATGGTAGGAGGCTTGGCTCGAAAAACCACTCCATCAGCTCCTTCATAGTTAAGACAGTACGACCCATACCTGTCGTTTCCCGGTGTCCTCCACTGCTGCCCATACGAGATTCCCTGGACCCGACTCAAATTCCCAGGCCCATAGTCACCCGGGTAGCCGTCTGGTTGGCCCTGATACCCTCCCGGAGCATGGGGTGCCCCATACAGACCCTCCCAACCGACTGGTCCCCTGTTGTCCACCCTTCTTGGTTGCTGATTAGAAGGACTCGGTCAATGTCCGATTCGATCCACCTCGGGCCGACCCATTCTGGCCCGACCAAGTCCGGTCCGGATCACCTCGATTCGACCACCATCGGTCCGCCCTGTACCAGTCCGACTGAGTTCGGTCCGACCCGCCTCGGCCCAACCCGCTATGGTCCTCCCTGCAGGAGCCGACCCCATCCGCCCAGCCTGGTCGGATGTCCTACCCGGCTCGGGCCCCCTCTGGTCCCCCTCCGGTTCGGCCCACTACGCCTGTCGATCCGCCAGGCTGAGCTCGTCATCTTTGGGCTCGTCATCCAGGCCCAACCACTCCAGCTGCAACGCCACGCCAGACGTCTGCTACACCTCCCTCTCCCGCTACTCCCAGGGGCGGAGCTAGGTGGTGTCACGGGGGGGCCCCGGCCCCCCCGAGAATTCCGAGATCTCGTACAAATCCAATCGTTGATAAAATAAATTACGTATAAATTGAAATTTGATATAATATTGGACCGTGTACGGTGCTGAAACAGTTAATAAGAGAGTAGTCTACTGGAAAGCATCCTTCCTTCTCTCCTAAGGGGTCTGGGTTCGAATCCCCTAAAGAGCATGTTCTTGCTATCTTTTGCTATTATGCTAGTTTTGTTTAGTTTGCTTTTATTCTAGTTTAATTTAATTCGTTTAATTAATTTAATTTGGCCAAAGAGCATTAACTAGTCTTGTAATTTCAAACTAGGTCAATTAATCTTTTATATTTTTTAGATTCTTTTGGTTATATAATGAATTACTTAATTTTTAATTTCGATGAGCAATTTAATCATTTAATTTTTTTCTCATGTTAATTTTCATAAATTTTTTATTAGTCAAAGTAAGTCAATCAATTCAACTTTTGAATTTATATTTTAAGAATTATTTTAGTTAAATTATGAATTACTTATATTGTTCAAACGATAATATTGACGAAATTCATATTCTAGTTATAAAAATGTCGAGAAACATGTTACACATTAAAATGTATAATTAATTTTTGTCGATTGCTTACAATAATAATAAATAAATTTTAGAAATTAATAATGATCTTTTTTATTTCTAATTATTATAATTTTTTATTTTATTATTATAATCTAGTTTACCCCGGCCTCCCCGAACGCCAATTCCTAGCTCCGCCCCTGGCTACTCCAGCACCGACCTCCGCGCCACCTCCGCCCTCCACGACTGCCTCTCCAACCTCGACGACGCCGCAGAGGAGATTTGCGGCTCCCTGAAGCAGATGCGGAAACTGGGCGCGACGGGGGAGTCGAGGGAGACGTTCCGCTTCCAGATGAGCAACGTGCAAACGTGGATGAGTGTCGCGCTGACGAACGAGGAGACCTGCACGAACGGCTTCCGGTCCGGTGCGTCGGGGGAGGCCAAGGCGGTGTACGCCCGTGCCGCGGAGGCGAAGAAGTACACCAGCAATGCGTTTGCGTTGGCTAAACGGAGGTCGAGGACATGTAATTTATTGTTTTTTTATTAAATAATTAATATGATAAAATATATTGATAAAGTAAGTGGGATGATGAGGTGGAAAATATATTTTTTATTTTTTTAATTTTCACGTCATCTAGTTAATAGTCAAACTTTACAGTTGACTGCCACGTAGGACAAAGTTAACAGAATGTAACGGCCGGTGACTAACGGTGAAACGATTCGTAAAGTTAGTGGCGAATAAGAAAGAAAAGTAATTCGGGTGGCAAACGTGAAAGATTTGTATAATTTGAGTGACCAAACGTGTAATTTAGCCCACTTTTGTCTACCACTAAAAGAAAAAAGACGATTCTCTCTCTCGTCTATAACTTAAAGGAAAATTATTGGTGCAACACATATGAATCTAACATATTTATAAAAAAACTGTAAAAATATCACCGTGGTACTGGTACCATATGGTATGCAGTCGTATCATACTGTAAAATGTATTAAAACTAACCAACTCGTATGTTAACGTTTACTATATGCTGCTACAATATAGTATGTCATATTTTACATATATAATGTTGTCTAAGAGGGTACACATCTATAAAATTACAATGCTTGTACCATTTGGTATGATGTGATATGATGATTTATAATGGTACAAAACAAAACTTGTGGTGTGATATGTATACTAAATGCTGGTACTAGATGGTATGATTTAGTATAATGGTGTTATAACAAGAAACAAACCTATAAACTTAGAATTACAATATTGGTTCCATATAGTATGATGTGGTGTTACGCTAATAACTTCAATTCATATTAAATGGTGACAGTTTCAACTCATATTGTAATAACTTGAATTACAATACCGATACTATCATGGTAACATGTGGTAACCATAAAATGCATCTAGTTACCACACTATACTATGTGGTGTTAGACCAAACGGGGTCAGTAATGAATACTTTTGACGTGATCAATTCACAAATTAATTCAAATTTCAATAGTGAGAGATTAGCACTAGTTTGATTGAGCAACCCAAAATGGTTTGCCAAGAATCTCTCTTGAAATAATTAATTTGTTATGACGCACTTGTTCCAATTGTGATAAAAGTTTTCACTTCTTTGTAATAATGATAGGAACAAGGTTAGAGGTAGAGAGAGATGATTCGAGACGCACGATTTTAACGTGGTTCGGCCAATATGGCTTTACATCCACGTCTCGGAGATAGTCACCACTATTTCACGAGAGACTTTAACTTTTATTAAAATAAAACTCTCTATCCTATGAAATAAAAACAACCTTGACACTATGTGTCAAGAACCAAATAGGTGCAACTCCACACCTATTCAACCCTTAGCTAAATCCAAGCTAAGCTACCCACTCAATCAATCAAGCCAACACTCTTAGTTTAGCTTGATCGAAGAGTAATCCATCTAGTGCAACTTCCAAGCAAGAATCCCCTCTTGCTCTTGCACTAGTCCCAATTACAAATACCCTTTCTACCCTAAAACCCGACCTAGCTTAACTATCTCAACCTCCGAGATATCAAGCTATTCACACCACGAAATATGATCACACTATTTCGCTATTACAAGGGAGAAGAGAACTTTGCAAAATGTGCTCTAGCCTACAAAGAACTCTACTGTTTATAGTGGCGGTGTAGCTCCATTTCCTTTCTTTTGTAATGCTTCTTACGGCAAGTGGCTCCTTGAATTGGTAAGCTCCTTGTTGATATGATTACTCCTTTGGGGGCAAGCAATCATTTTGAATACTTTCTTTTTTCATGGTAACTCTTTTGTAGGCAAACAATCAATTTTAATACTTTCTTTTTTCTAAATAGATTCTTTCACCTTTACATTGATTTGCTTCTTTTGATTCTTCCCTGCATAAATTGTTAGTCCAATATGGAAATAAAATAACATATATTCCAAACATGTTGACCTAAAATATTAGATTTGCTAAGTCAAGCTTATGTGGTAATCCCAATATATAATTATGACTTTCTTTACTTCCATGTCCTTCATTTTCTTCACAAAACAAGCATGATACAATATGGTAACCACAATATACATCTAACTAAGACATACTTTACATGCTAGTCTTCAGCATCCTCTCATTTCCTCCACAATTGAAAACATCAAAAGCAAAAAAATAAAGGAAGATTGGAACAAATATGCACAATGAAAAAGGGTAGTAACACCTTTATTTCATTGATTGTCGTAGAAAAAAAATGAAAACGAAATAAAGGAGCATCTCGGGAGAAGAAGGAGATTGAAGAATTTGACAGAGAGAAATGAATAGAGGAAGAGGAAAAGAGAGTTCCAGAGAGAAAAAAAAATTAAAAAATATTTAAAATTCAATAAATGGACAAAAATGCCTCTTCCTAGCTCGCATCAACCTCAACCGCAGGATGGTTCCGCCTTAGAAGTTAGAACAACGACTCCAATTCGGTATCCTAAGCCTAACCGAACCCGTAGGCCTTGATGGATTGTGAATCGTGATTGCCATATCATCATGTTTCAGGAAAGCGTAATGGATGGGCCTGGCCATTAAAATCCTCTCCAAACCTGTTTGGGTCAGCAGTCATAGACCAGAAGCCCGATAGGCCCATCTTCAATTCTTGTAACAGTACCAAAAGAAAATTAAAAGGGAGAAAACCGTCTCCTTTTCTGCAACCTGGCGCCACAAACGGATAAGTGTCCTTCATTTCCTTCATCCCTCTCCCTCTACTACTTCTCGTCTTCGCTCGAGACTCCACCGGTGCGCAACCCCTCAGCCGCCGGAATGCTGGCAAATCCTAGCACCGGCGCCCTGCATGGCGGCATTTCTCGTCCCCGAAGCTCTCCGTTTCGACTATCCAGTAGCCACTGCTGCAAGCTCCCCGTCTCTCCAACTTGCTCCCGTTGCATTGGTCCAAGAAAATCAAGGTCCCGCGCCTTATCCCTGCTTTTACCGAGAAAAGTTGCCGCAAGTTTCGGCCGCGTTAGAGCTTCCGTTCAAGACCACCAAGTCCCTGAGTCGGTTGCCGTAGACGGAGCGCAGTTTTTCCCCCAATACGTTTCTGTTAAAATCCCCTACGGAGACAGAGAGGTTAAGTATTTGAAATCGCGTTCTGGCTAGCGCTTTCCGTGATCGATAATGTTGTAAATCTTTGAATTCCTTAAGCTTGAAGCAAGTTATTTGAAATTGAACTGCCTGCTTGCCGTCTTGGAAGGAAATTGAAGTTGTATAGCTGCTTCCCTCTTAGGTTGAGGCTTTGGGCTGAAGGGGTTATTGTGATAAACTAGTTGAATTCTTGCTTTTGAGAGATTATCATAGTGTCCTTGTACTATTTTTGCAGATATTGGTTGAAACAGGTCATATGGGAAGACAAGCTAGTGGTGCTGTGATGGTGACTGATGGAGAAACCGTAAGTAGTGGACTGATTTTGAAAATCTTCTTTCATTTGGTACTTGAACAGCTGGGGAAAAAATTCTACCAACGTTTCAAATGTCTGAATGCAACAGCGAACCATGGTGCTTGGACTTATCTAGAGGCTATTACGAATTCAGTTCATGCTTTCCCATTCAGTGAGAATTCATGCTTTTAGGGAACCAGTCCAAGATGGAGAAATGTCAATCCTTGAGTTCCTAGAAAACACTTGAAAGAACATATGATTGTGATGTGCTCCTTGCTCTATTGTATGTTTTAAGGCGAAGAAAAAAATGGGGAAATTGAATAGATTGGCTTGACACCTTGAAATGGCTTTGTGATCAGTTGGCTGATCCATCTCTTGTCTTTCTTTATCAATGTATCTTTTAGATTTTTATCCAGCATTTTACTGTTCATAATCATCGAGCATAGAATTTCTGTAGTCTTAATTTATGTAGCGGTTTCATCTGGTATCACACAGATATTTCAAAATTTTGTTTCGCAGGTTGTCTATACATCTGTATGTTTGGATGGTGTTCCAAGCGAGCCTTCAGATTTTTTCCCTCTTTCTGTTCATTATCAAGAACGTTTTTCAGCTGCCGGTCGAACAAGGTATATGGTACTTATGTTTTATCATTGTTATATTGGAAGAGTGTTTCAGGAAACTGATTGGCCCTTTTCATCTGGCTTTGCCTAAGTGGAGGGTTTTTCAAACGAGAGGGAAGAGCAAAAGATCATGAGGTACTTGCCTCCTGTCTAGTATAAGGAGCATTTAGTCAGTCTGATTGCAACTTAATTTTTTTAAGTAAACTCTCACTCATGATTTGTTGTGGCTGATTGGCTTTCACTGTATGATTTTTAATCATGTGACCTCTACTTAATAAAAACCTGATTGGTAAAATGAGTTCTGGAGCTTTACGGAGAATCTTTCTTCAGAAGGAATATCAGCTTGCTGTATTTTCCTACAATTAAGTAAAACAATACTAAATGAATTGCAAATTCTGCGATTAGAACCAGAGTAAAAAGAAAATCAAGTAGGCTATCATTTTAACGGTAGCAGCATCTTGGTTTGTATCCATCCTAGCCCATGAACAGATTGCAAGAAAATCCCTATAAAAATCATACCTTGGACGAACATCACCTATCAGAAGATCTCTGGAAGCTTGTGGTACTTCTAGTATCAGCTATGTCTTGTGACCTATGGTTGATATCAGGAAACCTTGATTGACAATGCCATCTAACTTTCCATTTTTCGAGTAGCAGAGAGGACAGGGAAGGAATTTTTAGCTCTTCAATGGTGATTGCATGATGTTTGATCATAATTTTCTATTTATCTAATTTCATAAAAAATTCTATATATGTATTATTGTATTTGTACTTTAGCTGGTTTATGGACATCTATGTTTCTGTCTCCATGATCAATTCAGGTCCTCACTTGCCGACTCATTGATAGGCCATTACGCCCAACCATGCCAAAGGGCTTCTACCATGAAACTCAGATATTATCATGGGCAAGTATCATAAATTGCTCCAATATTTTTTGCTTGAATGTCTTCCATACCATTTTTTATGTTATATTCTTGCTCTTCAACCAAAGGCTTCTGAATTCTCATTATGTTGAATGCTGTCTTTCCATCCCATTGTTAC